CGGAGCGCTGCCGGTCCCAGCCGCCGGTCCCAGCCCGTCGGGTCACAACCCACCAGGTCACCCCGCAGCCCCTGGCACCGAGCACAGAAGCGCTGCAGCACAGGATTGCTGATGGCCGCGGTAAATCCCCGCCTCGGAGGCAGGTATTCACACACCTCAGGGTGCTGCAGGAGGAAGGGCTCTGTGACACCACCTGATCTCAGCAAGAGTTCAGTCAAGACTTTAACAAACCCCTTGCAGAGAGCTGGGTCAGGAAGAGGCCCCCTGAAAATCCAGCCGAGCGCAGCAGTTTGTGCTGCGAGCTGCCTGGTGATGCACTGCTCAGCGTCTGTGGCTTTCCTCCCTTCATCTCCAGCCAAGCCACTGTCTCCAACTGTCTCAGACGATTGCCGAGTCTCCTAAAGGCCTGGCTGCAGAGGAGGCTCCAAGGAGAGTTCATGTAGCATTTCTCTCAGCACTGGTTTCTCCTCCAGTATTGTCTCCTTCTCTGTCAAAATCCAAAGGCATCTGCGCGTCTTTCTGTCAGCAACAGCCAGAAGTGCTGTAACACAAGTGTCCCCTGGCTGAGGAGTCTCGGCCATCCTGGCTGTCCACATTCAGCTTTTCTATCATCATCTCAGAAAGCAAATGAGTGCTTTGCCTGATTGGACTTTATCTGCTTTACAAACCCGCAGTGTGGGTGATGGCCGTAAATCACTTTGTTTCTCAGAGACCAGGCACAGACCTTTGTAACTCCGAGTTACAAGAGTCAGAACTCGCACTCTCACATGTGTACATGTGTACCTGCAGATGGGACCTCTGCTTCTTCCCAGCACAACACCAGCCACGGGGATGGTGACAGGCCATGGCCTCATGTGGGGTGGCTGCTGCCATCAGGACACACACACTTGTGTTTTTGCCTGTTGGTCGAGGCATAATCTGGGAAACACACATGCTGTGGAGGAGTGGGAGATTGATGCCAGTGAAATCCTGGCCTTGGGAAGAGCCAGCGCTGCCAGACGTGATAGGGTTGTCTTTTGACACATGGTCACAGCTTGGCCCTCTGCAGATAACGATGGAGTTTTGTGTGTGAGCTTCAGCTCTCAATCCCAGCAGGAAGGGCTCCCTGTTGCACACATCCATCCCCCTCTGCAGTGCTCGGCTCTGTGGTGGGGTTTGGCTGTGCTTCATCCTTTCACTGGCACTTCTACACAGACCAACAGTTACAAATAGGCTTTTCCATTTATCTCGCACCTTTCAGCTGGAAGTACTTCACTCCTGTGAATTCTGCATTGCAACACAGCACTGGATATGCAGGGAGCACACAGGGAGCACCCGTCGGCACGCTGCCCTAACACAGCTGCTCCATGTAACGCGGCAGATACTTACCAGGGTTCAGGAGTATCCAGACAGAACGTCTGGACTGGCTGTTCCCAAACTCATTTGAGTTGTCAATCCATGAAGCAGCCTGCAGGAGGTGTGGGCCCTGCAGCACCCCACACGCGGTGGTGACACCCACTGTGTCACCCTGGGCAATGGGTCAGTCCTCAGCCCCCTGACCTGGCCACGCAGTTCTGTGCCTGCAGTGCCCACAGAGCTGTGCTCTGAGCTAGGCTGTCCACGGGATCACTGCATATGGATTTTGTGCAAGGTCACTCAAAAACACTTCACACAGCACCAGCAGCTCCAGGCTCCTGGAGCCTGGATCCCAGGGTCCCCACCACCCTAAGGACGGGCAGCAGCCACTGTCCTGCAGGTCAAGACAAGCAATTTGTCCAGCAGAGCTTTCCCCAGAGTCCTTCTGTGACAGAGCTAGCTGCAGGTTTATGTGAAGCCATGCAGCGAAGGTGCTCACACACTGCGGACGGCTTATAACTTGTGCGATCTTATGTAAACCTTTAAAGGCATTTGTGTTCATGATCTATCCCAAAACTTGTGGGGACAGCAGCACTGTTAGCTCAGATGTGGAAGAGCAGCGCACTCTTAGACAAAGCACATCCTCAGAAACGCCTGCAGAGCTGCTTTGCTGCTTGACATTGCTCAAGTATAATTGGTTGTGTCAGGTCTACTGAAAAATGAGACTTCTTCCAGAAACAACTGAATTCCAGTAAATTCCATGTCATGTAATTTGTTTCTGAAGTTGAGAGCCTATTCGCACGCTACAACAGCTTTACACATCAGTTACGCAGGACTGGGCACTACAGAGGGACAGCGTGTCATCTAGGTTGAGAGGTGGACACATCTTAAAGGTGGTTTCATCCCTAGAGATAAGTGACTCCTCAAGTGTGCCTGTTCCTCTCACTAATAGGATAGAAAAGCTGAGAAAATAGCTGAGACATCTGTGTTGCAGCTTTACAGAACACCCCAACGGAACCTGACCTGTGACTTTGCAACTTACTGAGAGGATGCTGAGCTTACAGGCCATTGGAATGAGCAGAAACCCATTCTTAATACTAACCTTTTGCATTTTAATATGGTATTTACCACTTGTGCAGCAATCCCAAATCCATATTGTTGGTTAATCAGGATCTCAGGATGCCTAAATCCCACAGTTGGTGCTTTCTGTCTCTACCCATGTGTAACAGAACCACCACCCAGCTGCCAGGAGGCATTTGGCAGAGGGTGCTCACAGGCCAGGCTGAAGATGTGTTGGCAGCACTGTGCATGTGGGCAGTTTACATAGCCCACAGGCTAATTCCAGCTGTAACTGCTACTGCTATTAGATCCTCATTATACACTGGTGTTTGCATGTGCCTGGAGCAGAGGCTGCACCATTCAATTACCTCTACAGCAGTGGACAAGTCCCATCACATCTATAACCAGCAGCCTAATTTGAACCCCTCCTTGCTCAAAGGCAGGTAATCCCACCCTTGTCCCTTCCTGCTTTTAGCAGTGCATGAAGGTATCAGGCTGGTTTAGAGCATTTCCACAGGCAGCATAAAGGCTGGAGAGCTGAAGCTGCCCTGAAAATAAAAACATGATGGTGTGATGCAACTTGAATTGGATCACTGCACCTTTTGATTTCTGGGACACTGAGCTGAGGGTGAAGGTGGACACTATGTGGTGCAGACTAGCAAAGAGCTGCTGAGTTATCTGACTCCCTGCAGGCTCCAGGCATTGGAAAATCAGTGTTACAAACACCTGAGGAGCAAATACAGGGTACTTTTAATACCTTGTCTGCTCAGATGGCCTCCTGCTCCCCCTGCCCTCAGAAATCCCTGCTGTGTTATTCTCAAGCCTCAAACTCCACCTAAAATGGTCCTGAAAGAGGAGCAAGTTGTCAGTTTTCCTTGTATTCAGGTAGGACTCTTGTATTAGAATCATGGAATGGTTTGGGTTGGAAGGGACCTTAAAGCTCATCCAGTTCCAACCCCTGCCACGGGCAGGGACACCTTCCACTAGAGCAGGTTGCTCCAAGCCCCTGTGTCCAACCTGCCCTTGAACACTGCCAGGGATGGGGCAGCCACAGCTTCTCTGGGCACCCTGTGCCAGCGCCTCAGCACCCTCACAGGGAAGAACTTCTTCCTTAGATCTAACCTGAACTTCCCCTGTTTCAGTTGGAACCCATCACCCCTCGTCCTACCACCACAGTCCCTGAGGACGAGTCCTTCTCCAGCATTCTTTTATTGATCAAAGTACCCCTGCCATTTATAAGCCAAAACCTCCTGAATTCCTTCTCTGGCTCTAAGCAGCTCAGCCCATCCTTACACCTCAGCATGTGCTTACGAGGTACTTCAGGAAATGCTGGTTTTGGTGGCCCCCCCAGTCTCCTGCCCAAGCTGCAGGCCTCCCTGCTCTGGGAAATGCTCTGAGCATAACCATGCAAGAGGAAATCATTCCAGTGATACCGCCTGCAACACGGGCAGTATGGCAGAGGGTGGCGAGGTGTGCCTGAGAGCAAGAACAGGGCATTGTCAGTCATTTTGTCACCAAAGCCGAGATACTCCATAGCTACACACTTGGTTGCCTGCCCTGGGAAACACAACTGCAGTAGTTGCTCTCCTGGTTGCTATCTTCTCGAGTGTGGCGTATGTGGAGGTACTGCCTGCACAGTGGTATTTATGCCTGCATCAGTGGTGTTTAGATTTGTACCTCAGAGGCTCACACTGGAAGAAACGTTGAGAGCACAGTGACTGTGAAGGAGCATGGAATGGGAGCTGTGCCTTGCAAGGTGTAGTACTGGGACACAGGACGGCACAGGAACAGAGGCCATTCATCATTAACATCATCTAATTCTCTTTTTCTCTTTTACTTCTAGCGTGGAAACAGTAAACGATGGGCAGTTCCATAGTGTGGAGCTTGTGATGCTGAATCAAACTCTGAACCTGGTGGTGGACAAGGGGACTCCCAAGAGTCTGGGAAAACTCCAGAAGCAGTCTTCAGTCACCCTCAACACACCGCTCTACATTGGAGGTACAGTGGCTTGCTCTGGACCTTGAGGTTGTAACACATCTTCCCAGAAGCAAATCATCTTCCAGCCTATGGAAGGCACTCTCCAGGTGGGGGGAAACCAGCATTTTGCCATTCCCTCTGCCAGAGGCTGCTTCCCTGAACAGAAGCCTGGAAACCACATCTCTGCTGCTCCACTTCAGGGTCCATAAGTCCATGAGTGCCCCACCACAGAGCAGCACAAGCTCTCTCACCAAAGCAGGGAAGTTGACTTCAGCACAGGCAGTTTCTGGGTTACACAGCCATGGTGACAACAGTTTGTCATTTCTAAAGCTTTCAGAACTGGCTGGCAGTTCTGAACAGGATGTGATGGTTGAAGAATACAATGAAAGTATCACAAACAGATACAGCAAAAAAAAAGCAGCTCAATAGTCAGTAGGTTTATATATACCATAAATGAGTGGTATGGCTGCTGGACGTTTTTTACAGGTTTTGGGGGAGGGATTAAAACTTCCAGACCGTATAATTAATACACACAAGCCCAAGCTGACTAAATACTTGGCTTGTAGTTATCTCATTGGAAACTGAAGCCAGAGCTCCAGTATTAGAAAGATCTTAGAAACTTCAGTTAAGAAGTTTGTTCACATTCAGTACTGAATGTGAGGGGAAGGAGAGGCCAAGTGGGATGGGGAACAGATGCCCAGAATAATGAGTATCCCACTGATTAGGTGTGTGGATATGAGAGACAGAGTGAAGGCTGTGCTCTGCCCAACTGGCTTGTCTTTGTCAGCCGCCCCGTTCCCCAGCTCTATTCTGGACTGAATGTTGATATCTGTCCCTTTCAGTGACACAGAGTTCTTGAACTTTTAGTCAGTCAATTGTAAATACAACAGTCAGCAGAACAATAATAGACTCAGAAAGTCTTTGGGCTTTTTTCCAACAAGTTCATTGAAGCCAACAGTAGAAACTCTTATAAACTTCACTTGGTGCTGGTCAAGCCTGTTGTAAATAATTCCCCTTAATAACACTTTCATAAAGGAACCCTGAATGTTGCCCTTGTCAGTCAGAACTGTGTTTTAACTTGCTTTGTACAGAGCCGAAGCTTTATAATGGGCTCATACCGAGAATGTCATAGGCTGCTAAAGAGCATTAGGCATCAAAGGTGATTTGCTGGTGAGGCCATCACAATTTCTTCCCTTAGCACAGCATTAAAGATATCAACAGCAATTTAGACACAGGGAGCTTGGGGAGCAACCACGTGGAAGAGTTTTGTTAATGGATGAGCTCTGTGGATCACTACTGATTCTCAAAAGGTTCCTACAAAAAATGCATTCACAGGATGAACTTGAGACCTGAAGTGGAGGACTGTTGGGTGCCAGAAGGACTCAGTGGAGACTTCTTTTATTGCCCATTAAAACCCTTCTTGCTTCTTTCTAAACCCTTGCTGTGCTGCTGGTCTGTCTGCAGCATACCCAAAGATAACAGCTGCCCTCCCACTGCAGCCTGGTCCATGAAAGTAACTGCACTGTCCCAGAGCAATTGTTCCTGGCATACACTCAGCTTCAAGGCACCTGAGCCTCCATGTGCCCCTGGTTTGGTCCATCTCCAACTACATCACCTGGTTTAGAAACTTTCCGCCTATCACACAGTTAAACAAAGATTCTGGGTTTGTTTTAAGACCATCTTTAACAGTGGAGTCACTTATGAATCGCAAATTCTTGGTGTCCTCAGCATAAGAAGGACATGGAGCAAGTCCAGAGGAGGGCACGAGGATGATCAGGGGCTGCAGCACCTCCCGTATAGAGACAGGCTGAGGAAGTTGGGGCTGTTCATCTTGGAGAAGAGAAGATGCGTGGAGACCTCAGAGCAGCTTCCAGTGTCTGAAGGGGGCTACAAGGATGTGGAGAGGGATTCTTCATCAGGGACTGTAGTGGAAGGGGTCCCTGCCCGTGGCAGAGCGTTGGAACTGGATGATCTTGAGGTCCTTTACAATCCAAACCAGTCTGCGATTTTATTCTAGTGCAGCCTAAGGGAATGTCAGTGGGGAGGGGGAACAACATCCCAAAGAATCTGCTAGTCACCTCAGCATGGGAACTCTTCCAAGCGCTGGAGCAGGATAGATGGCACTTGCGACAAAGGCTTGGCCTTGTACTGTAGTAAACCTTCCCTTTATGTTTTTCTCTGAAGGGATCCCGACCTCCTCTGGCTTGTCGTCACTGCGCCAGGGTGCAGATAAGACACCAAACGGTTTCCATGGCTGTATCCACGATGTCCGCATCAACAACGAGCTGCAGGACTTCAAGGATTTACCACAGCAGTCCCTGGGAGTCCTTCCTGGCTGCAAGTCCTGCAACATCTGCAAGCACGGTATCTGCCGGTCCCTGGAGAAAACAAGTGTGATCTGTGAGTGTCACCCAGGCTGGACGGGCCCCCTGTGTGACCAGGAGATTGGAGACCCGTGTCTTAACCACAAGTAAGCTCGAACTAATGCTGCTGGGAGGGCAGATGCTTTACAGCTAATGTGTATTTTACATTTCATCTTATAAACCCACATCTGGCTATTTTTGGAGGTGCTGGGTTCACACATGAAGTTGTGAGTCAGCCTCCGTGGCAACTCTCAGCTTCCACTTCTTGTTCTGGTGCTGCTTGTTCTGCAAATGAACAGATGTCCTGGAGGAGCTCAGGTGCTAATACTGCAGGTCATGCCTTCAGTTGGGACTCCACGTTCAAATACAAAGCCTCCTGTTGACGGGCATACCTCACCTCTGGAGTGCTGAGCTGCCTGTGAGGTGGAGGGTCATGCTCGAGGGATATGCTCACAGCAGCATCAGGCTGTGAACACTGTCATGGGCTCCAATATGAACAGTTTTAAATACTGCACTCTGAAACACCCCTTTAAAGTGCAGGTTTAAAGGATAGCATGGGGTCGTATGAGAAGGGAGCAGGAGTGTAAAGCATTCACAGTTCAAAGGCTCAGTAACCACATCCATCAAAAACACTGGGTAAATAGCTTACTTATGGCAAGCGCAAGAGGAAATGCTCTGGCGCAGAGCAGCAGGCAGCTCCACAAGCAGATGGAAGTACTTTTGTTTTAGAAGTGTCTTTGGTTGCACTATTGGTGGAAGGAGCTTTTCACAGGCACCTACTTTTGACAGGTAAATTGACACAGTGAATAATCACTCTCTTCATGGCAGAAATTTAACTTGGCAGAGTTAAATTGCTTCTGGGTCTAGTTCTGCAAAGTACAGAACCCTGGAAGGTGTTGAGAAGCACCTGACAGTTTACAGACCAAATATGAAGACACAAGTGAAGAAACAGAGACCCAAATGTCTCCTTGAATTTCCAGCATCAACATGAAACTGTTTTGGTTGGACAGAGAAAAGTAACGGAGTTCCAGATGTTTATGTGATGAAAGATTAGTTCTCTCAAGGAAAAGTGGCTGTGTGTATTGTTAACGCTCACCTACTGTCACACCTTTCATTACATCACTTCAGCCTTTTGGAGTTGCCTCCTTAAAGCCAGTCCTTTGTGTGAAGGGCAGTGCGGTGCCCAGCTGTGCTCAGCACTCAGAGAGGAAAGGCAACTAGCTGATGGTAACAAGTTACTGCCCAAGCACACCTTTGACTAGGGGGGCAGAAAATCCTGCTTTATATAGACTGTGACTGCCTTTATTATGTTGCATGTCTTGACCTGTCTGAAACCGCTTTTATTATTTATGCTTTCTAGTTCAAAGCTTAAAAGTGAAATGTACAGGATTCAACATAAGCAGGGAACAGTTTTAAAGTACGAGAAAGAAAACAAACCAAAATAAGAGGAAGACATGGGTTCATGTTAAGTAGGGCCTGATACAGCAAAGGTTTACAAGCCCTGAGCAGTTTCTCCTTGGCTGGACGGTGTTGCTTTCTTCCCTGTCCTCAGTCCATTTCAGATCTGTCTCTGTCCCCGAAGTGGGGTGGTGTCAGAAACTGCTGAGGACCAACATCCTCCCTGTGGATGGAGGGAGCACCATTCCTCGGGTTCCATTCCTCAGGAACACCAAAGCTCCCTGCGAACCATGTGAGCCAGGGAACCCTTCAGCTACAGCTGCCCATCAGGAAGCCTGCACATGGCTTTTCCACGGGCACCTTCATTTATCAAACTGCTTTTCATCACCTGATACTATTTGTAGAGTAATTCTGCTAAGGAAGCCTGGGCATGCAGTTTGATTGTCAGCACTTAGCTCCACGTGTGGTGCTGTAGATGTGAGCTGTCTCATGGGAATGCCAAGCTTTGGTCCATGCTCATGAAGTAGCCTGATGGTTTCCAAAGAGATCGCTTAGGATCACAAATCTTGAATGTATTCTCTGAACATTATCCAGTATTCACTGAAAACTCACAGTTTCTTCAGAATGTTTGACACTGAACTGCTAGTTTTGGATTAGTATCCTGGAATGAAGTAGGCAGAAATGCCAAAACCAAACCTCCCTAGGAACAGGAACTGCCACAGCTAACACAGGCCAGCTCTAAGTGCTTCTCTTTCTCCAGGTGTCTGCACGGTAAGTGCATGGTGGCCAATGTTGCTTACACCTGTAAGTGCATAGAGGGCTACACAGGCATGTACTGTGACAAGAAGAACAATTCCTCAAATCCCTGCAGGACTTTGAAGTGCAACCACGGACAGTGTAAGATGTCGGAGCATGGGGAGCCCTACTGCGAGTGTGATCCCAACTACAGTGGGGAGCACTGCGACAGAGGTACGTGTGGCTGTGGCTGCTGTGGGTCTGGGTCATACCTTTGGCTTTGCTTCTCGTCCATGTGGCTTGTATTTAGGGGTAAATGGCAAATAGTGGAAGATGAAGCTAAGTCAGCCTCTGCAGGGCCAATACAGGGAGGAGAAAAGATCCACACAACAGCTAGTGAGCTGCTATCCAAATGTATGGGAAGGGGAACACCAGTAGTAAAGAGTCTTACTCTCTGTCTCCAGAATCCTCAAGGTTTGCTGCTCCCAGGATTCTGGTGGGATGTTTGAAGAAGAGGTTGTTGCAAGGTTTACTCTCAGCCAGCAGGGACTGGTTAATTGCAGTGCTTGGGAAAGGTCTCAGCCTGCACACCAAGGAGGTGCTGATCTCCGGAGGTGGCAGTAAAGATTCCCGGCTTGCTCCCCCGATGCAGCTGGGTGGGTTTCCTGGGGAATCCCACAGATCATGCTGGGCTTTCCAACTGGGGTGAGAGCCCAACTGTTCAGCCCTGACCTGAAAAGGCTCACTGGGAACTCAGGGAGTCCTAGCTTCATCCCTTCTGCCTTTCTGTGTTCTTGTACAGAAGGAAGGAGCTGGCTTGTATTAGTTTTATTTCGGCTGTGTCTTTTCTGTGAATGAACCACAGACTTCCCAAATTACACACAGGCACAGCCCCACCAGAACGTATCTGGCTGCTGCACAGAGACTGAGAACAGCACAGACATTTCTGGGTATCCCACATTGCTGATGCCATGTGGAGCAGGCTGACCTGTGAACCTGAGAAGCATACACAGTCAAACTAATCCATATTTTGCAGGAGTGTTGCAGGATTCAACACTCAGCATTCATTAAAGCACTTCCAGAAGTGCTGGGCAAGGCGAGCAGGCCTCTGCCTTCTGCCGGATATTACACATTTGTGTAACACCAGCTCGGGTCTGACGGCAGGTCCGAAGCAGTAAAGATGAAGGTCCTTCTCATGCCATCTGTTTGCCTTGAATGTCATTACAAGTGCAGGGCTGCTGGCTGGTGTTCTGGGAATAGCTTCTGCAATAGTTACCACATGTTTTGTTTCCTTCACGTCTCTGTTGCCTTACCAGAGAACCTCTGCCAAGGAGACATCATCCGGGAAGTTGTCCGCAAGCAGCAGGGCTACACGTCGTGTGCCACTGCCTCCAAAGTGCCGCGCCTGGAGTGCCGCGGCGCCTGCGGCAGCGGGCAGTGCTGCGTGCCCCTGCGCAGCAAGCGGCGGAAATACTTCTTCCAGTGCATGGATGGCTCCACCTTCACAGAGGAACTGGAGAGACATGTGGAATGCGGCTGCTCCAAGTGCTTATAAGCCATTCTCCAGTCTCTTGCCACTTTAATCGACTCAGAAGCGCTATCAAAATGGGACCTATTTACTTTCAGAGTGAAGAAGAAGAAAAGAATTATTAAGTATATTGTAAAATAAGCAAAAAATAGAACTTATTTTTATTATGGAAAGTGACTATTTTCATCTTTTATTATATAAAGTATCGCACCACTTTGGGTATATGTATCATATAGTGAGCTATTTTTACCATGAAACTTTTTTAACAGTTGTAAGAAAAAAAAAAAATCAAAAGTTAAAAGTTTTAAAAAAAAAAAAGATTATAAAGCAAACCTTGCCTAAAGGAGAAATGTGGGGTGACTGTAGGTGTGTGCACAGTGACCCAAAGTAAAGGTGTTCCAAGGACCTGCCACAGGACTGATCCAGGCTGGAGGAGTCTCCGAGGCACTGGGTGGGTGTCCCAGGAGAGTGGATCCCCGTGGTTCCCAACATCCATCCATCCTGCCCAGGCCCCCTGAAGAAGCCTCCCCTCAATCCCTCGCTCTGCCTGACACTGCCAACACCGTCTGCTCCTGTACAGTGGCTCTGCTTGCTCCTCTTGAACTGGTTCCCTATAGGCACTGCCACAGCTTGAGGCTAACGACATTATTTGACTATTGTAATACTATACTGCATTTTTTGCTGTGTATGTTGTATTTATCTGTGTTCACATTATATTCTTCAGCAACTGTATCTATAGAGCACAGGCAGCTTTATCCAAAAGAAAGGGATGAAGGGAAAGGAAGTGGGGAAATATGTGTTGCTTTGGGAAATTTGGGGGCAAAATGTGAACTAAGTGCTAAGTAACGCCTAATAAATGACATAGTACTTTTGTGTAAACTCCTCAGCTATGTTATTTCCCAAGTTTGTGCCTTCTTGCTCCCAGCCTTGAGCTCTTTTTTGTATATGAAATATAAGGAATGCACTGCTACATAGTTTGTCATGCCTTGACACTTTTAACTTGGAGAGGTTGTAAAGAGCATGAACATCCTGCCGGTGCCAGAAGGTAACACTCGCAGCAGAACGGCCCTTCCTGCCCCAGGAGCCAGGGGTGAAAGCTGGGCTGTAGCTGCCTCTTCATCCACGCTCTGTACTGAGCAGTTGGCTGCTTCCCACAGCGCTTTACATGAGCAGAAGTTGCACTATACCCGGGTGAAGGTACTGAGCCGGCTTTGTCCACCTCAGCGGCGCTCTCTTCTCTGCACAAGGAGAGGTGTCACAGCTCCATCCCACCCTGTTCTCGCCTCTGGTGTAGAGTGACTGGTTCAGCCAAAGCTCCTGCATCTGCACTGCTCCATGCCCTGCACTGGTGTCTCCCAAAGGACTCCCACCAACTTCGGTTGTGCTCAGAGCCAGTGCTGAACAGGAAGTGGGGATCAGTGCAGGGCTGAATTCTCGCCGTGGATGTGAGGCAAAAACTGACTCTGTGACAGAGATTGGGTTTTGGAGGGTTTTTGTCAGGGCCACCTTTCAGGGTCAGTAAGTTACGTGCGAAGAGTACCATGGATACCTTGATGTTTCTCTTCTGTAAGTTTCAAACATCCCATCAACAACTGGTCCACT